AGTAATAGTTCTTATAGAAATGTGAATGCATAGTATTAGTTCTTATAGAAATGGAAATGAAGAGTAGAGTAGTTCCTAAAGAAATGAGAATGGATAGTAATAGTTCATATAGAAATGTGAATGCATAGTATTAGTTCTTACAGAAATGGGAATGAAGAGTAGAGTAGTTCTTAAAGAAATGGGAATGGATAGTAATAGTTCTTAAAAAAATGGGAATTGATAGTATTAGTTCTTATAGAAATGGAAATGAAGAGTATAGTAGTTCTTAAAGAAATGGGAATGGATAGTAATAGTTCATATAGAAATGTGAATGCATAGTATTAGTTCTTATAGAAATGGGAATGAAGAGTATAGTAGCTCTTAAAGAAATGGGAATGGATAGTAATAGTTCTTATAGAAATGTGAATGCATAGTTGTTATTACTGTTGTTACTAATTCCCATCTGGTCTGACTCCGTCAGACCAGATCAATAAATCCGTCGACATTTAGGAAGTCCGAAACTAAAAGGAGAGAGAAATGAATGACGTTCCAGTTCAGCCATAAACAGTTCAAGATATGCTCAGTTGATGCCTGGTTTTGTTGGCATTTAGGGCAAGGAGGAAAGATCTTTTGATTGGCAGAAAATGTGAGACTTTTCAGGTGTCCACTGGCCAGTCGAGATAAGCAAGTGTTGGTCTGCCTGTCACCAGGAAGAGATACAGAGAGTCCTGGTCTTTTGCTTTATACTAGTAGTGAATAGGAGGAAGCAGCCACATTTGTTTGTTCTGGGCCTTTTTCCTTGCTAAAAGTTCAAGGTATGTAAGCTCTGAGGTGGAGGGGACTGGATGATCTAGTACCTTCTTTGCAAGAGTGTCTGCCAACTCGCTTCCGTGGATATCGACGTGGGACGGGATCCATTAAAAGTGGACATCATGCTGCTGGGAATCGAGCTTTACTTTTTGCGAGATCGAAAGGCCCAATTTTTGAGGTGCTGAATTGAACTACGGCTGTCGAATAGTATCCAAGCATTTCCAAAGTGCCCTTCACTCAAGATTTTCTCTAGTCTCCTGTCGATTGCAATTAGTTCGCTTCGAAAGACGGAACAAAAATCAGGGTTGTGTTGATGAAGAGTGTAGGTGTAGTTCTCTCGAGGTGTTTCAATAAACGCTCCACTGCCTGTCTATCCATTTTACTGCCATCAGTGTATATTTTGATGTCGTTTGGAGGGATTTTATTGATGATTTCCAGGGACAATTGTCTGAGGAAGTCAGGCACACAGTCTTTCTTATCAAGTGTGGTAGGGAGGGTTTCATGGAAACTAACATTGGAAAGATCCAAGCAAGTACTGAGATTGCAATGAAGATAAAGAGGTTCAATGTTTTCAGCGATTAACAGTTGTAATTATCATGACTAAAAGGACTGTTTTTCTTTAGCCTTTGATTGCAGGTCCAATAATTTATGTAGATAAAGCAGTTAAATTGCCTTGGTCTAAACTGGAAAGTGTATTGAAATATTTCACTAAATTAGCTTGCCTTTTAAAGTTAAGAGGATGCAGATCTGCTTCGTAAAGGACGATCTCTGAAGGACAGCTACGTTTCAATCCAGTGATGATGCGAGCGGCGCTCAGTTGAACCTTTTCCAATTTGCTTAAGTTAGATTGAGAAGCACAGCAGTAGACAGGATAGCCATATTCTAGAATTGGCCTAATAAGAGCCTGATAGGAAGTCCTAAGAGTAGTTGCATCTGCTCCCCAATCCCTACCAGCAATACACTTAATAATATTTTGGCGCTTCCTGGCCTTCGAGACAATATAATCAATATGTTTGTTACTTGTAAATTCGGGATCGAGAATGTATCCCAGGTATTTTGGGTGTTTCGCGTAGGAGAGCTTCTGGTGTTTGAGAAACAAGGATGGTTCATATTTATTAAGTCGCCTATTGGTAGTGAAGAAGGTGGTTACCGATTTGGTTGAAACTCAATTTGAGTTCATCTGCGTACTTGGATAGAGCTTCTAATGAGATGTTGAGTCTCGACTCAAGCTCGACAACGTCATCCCCGCTGACCCAAAGAGCAATATCATCAGCACACATTCCGATGCGAGACCCAAGAGAAACAGTTTTCTCAATTCCGGTCATGTACAGAGTAAAAAGAGTTGGACTGAGGACAGTTCTCTGGGGGACACCCTGGCTGAGATGAACCGAATTTGAGAGAGTTCCATTGAACTTCACCCTGATATGGTGAATGTATAGTATTAGTTCTTTTAGAAATGGGAATGAAGAGTATAGTAGTTCTTAAAGAAATGGGAATGGATAGTAATAGTTCATACAGAAATGTGAATGCATTGTATTAGCTCTTATAGAAATGGAAATGAAGAGTACAGTAGTTCTTAAAGAAACGGGAATGGATAGTAATAGTTCTTATAGAAATGTGATTGCATAGTATTAGTACTTATAGAAGGGTATAGTAGTTCTTAAAATAAATGGGAATGCACAGTGGAAGTTTTTATAGAAATATGAATGTATAGTACAGTGGCGTACGCAGAATTTTTTCAAGGGGGTGTTCATAATTTTCTGAAACTACTAAAAGACATTCGAATCTGTTATAAAGCACTATTATTTCCCTAATTTAGACAGCTAGACAATTTTGACTTTTTATTTAGACAACATTGTTTAGTTAAATTTTGATTTGATTTTTTAAGTTTAAGAACAAAATGTAATATTTTCAAAAAAAAGTTTAATATCATATGGGTGGAAAGTAACACTTTGAGGGCCACTTTCACATTCATCAGATTTTGTTATGCTAGAAACGTTTTCTTCAACGGAAGTATCACATTTCTGTACAACAGAAAAACTTACATTGGTACTAGATGCTGTCACCTCACTAATTTCAGATCGTGATTTTGTCTCAAAATAATTAAAAATTGCTAAATTCTTGCGTTAAAAATTGTTAAATCCTAAAGATCCAAGAACAGCAAATATACGTATATATTGGCTCAGAAATATCCGCTATGCTACGATCTCAAAGTTTCGAGCTGGAATGAATAACTTCAACGAGCACAGTATCTCTGGTATTGTTACTGATTTCTTCATTAGTCGAAATACTGGCGACGACGGTTTCGACGACTGAATGAACATTTTGTTAAGACAAAACAAAACAGATTTAGCGACAAGCTCCAAAAGACAAGCGGCAGAGATAACTCTTAGTCTGACTAACTAACTCCACTGTACTCCGTTCCCCCTTTTATATAATTTTTCACCGCGTCTCCAAAATTCTCGAATTGTCTCAAAGACGACAGAATGTCTAGGATTCCAGAATCATCACGTAAAGACCTCGCGAATGACAGCCAGTCTCGAAAACTATACTGGCAGGACAGAAAGGAACCAGTTCATAACAGTATCACGTCAATTTGGTATCAAAAGTACAATCCTATTATAGTAAATGTTTTTTCAGTATTCTGAGAAATACCGTGAGAAAAAAAGAAGGGCATAAGGTTAATAAAAATATATAGTCTTAAAAAATAATAGCTCGCATAATTTCTACTAAAATTTTATTTTTGCCATTTTGTCTGAGCTCAAGGGGGGTGTTTAAACCCCTAAACCCCTCCCTTGCGTACGCCACTGGTATAGTATTATAGTTCTTATAAAAATGTGACTGCATAATGGTAGTTTTTATAGAAATGGGAGTGTTAGGTATATTAGCTCTTTCAGAAATATGAATACATAGCAGTGGTTCTTATAGAAATGGTAGTTCTATGAAAACTAGAGAGTAGTAGCTCGTTAACACTTTGAAGCATATGGGGCACTGGTGTCCTTTTTACATATTTTTTGTAACGCTCTAATTACATGCAAAAATATATTTTGGTGTTTCTTAATAAAAAACACAGTCTAATAGTTACTAAAAAAATCTGTTAGATTATCGGAATTATATTTGTACAAAATAAAAAATCCAAAAAGGGTAGATTGAATTTTTTTCCCGATCCTATACAAAAATTTATCAATAACTGATATTGTAAATTAAAGAAATTTCGATGATAAATAAATGTTTTCTTACATCTAAATAACTGCAAATAAGCGCAAATTTGAAAAATTATTGTTTGGAAGTGAGCCGTGTTTGGAAGATTTTGCCTTAAAAGCAAAAAAAATAGATTAGGTGTTTGTTTCATGCTGTATTTCATAACAGAAAGTCATTAAAATGCAAAATATAATATTTTTCTCTTAATCTGACCTTAATTAATTGAAAATAATGAAAAAAGTGTGAAAAATATGTTTAATAAAAATTCAGCTTTAAAGGTTAAGAAATGTGAGGTCATAGTTTTTGTTTTTATAGATATGAGAATGTAGGATATTTCAATACTTAAAAGAAATGTAAATACATACTATAGTAGTTCTTACAGAAATGTGAAATTTGTAAAAATTTCTGCATTTCCATAATAAAAGTTCTTATCGAAATGTAAATGCAGGGAATGAAGTTGTTCGTGTAAAAATGTGAATGCATGGTAGTAGTTTTTTAAAACAAAATGGAGAATGGAGGGTTTAGTAGTTCTTATACAAATGTGAATGCAGTATTTCCCTCATACTTTAATAATTAGGTGACTTAAAAGAAATGCAAATGCATACTAGTAGTTCTTATAGAAATATGAAATATGTGGAAAAGACTATTTCTATCGTAGTAATTCTTATAGAAATGGGAATGTAGGTGTATAGTGGTTCGTGTAGAAATGTGAATGCATAGTTTTTTTTTTTTTTTTTTTTTTTTTTTTTTTTTTTTTTTTTTTTTTTTGGTTTTTATAGATATGAGAATGCAGATATTTCAATGCAGGATGCATAGAAGTAGTTTTTTTCTAAAATAAAAAATGGAGAATGTAGGATAAAATAGTTCTAATAGAAGTGTGAATGCATAGTTGTAATTCTTATAGAAATCGGAACGTAGGGTATAGAAATGTGAATACAGTGTTTCCCTTAACAATAAGGGGGACATTGGAAAACACTCATAAAATAGAAATTGTTAGAAACCTTCACTACCTGCTCTACCTCGGGGATTAGACTCACTGTCACATCTGTGATGTCCCAAAGAATGGAGCTTCTCCGTAAAAGATTGGAATTTTTCAGCCAAACTGCTCAGGTGCTTCTCTTCTTTTACGGGGGTGTGGTCTTTGGCAAGCTCAGGGAGGGAGCCCCCACCTCCTCCCGCCGTTGTGTGGGACGTGATGGGGGCGCACGCAGCAGTCGACGTCACCGCCGCCATCTGCAAATTCAAAATTAAAAATATTTAAAATAAATCAATATGTTAATTTTTGCAAAAGTATTGAGAAAAAATTGATAGGGTAAAAATAGTTTTGATTATTTTTTTTCCAGCTAAGCTTTCCGTTTGATCAAAAAGAAGCTTTACCTTAAAGTGGGACAGACAAGTGGTACCGTTCTTATACCCAGATCAGTGTTCGGTAAATGGTGGCTCACGAGCCACACGTGATATTTTTGTTGTTTGAGAGCTAGTACTTCGATTAAGAATGTTTGATAGAGACTTTGGAGCACAGTTTTCTAAGCACTGGTCTATATGTCAATCGGTAAATGAAATTGCTAAAGCTGTTACTTAAACAAGTTCTTCTAGTTCCAATAACAGTACACCAATGATGCATAATTAATTATGGTAATAGGTACAGATTAAAACACGGAATAAGTTTTGCATTTAAAAGTTAAATTAATGGGGGAAGTATTTTTAATAAGTTTTAAAATATGCTTGTATTGGTACCAAGATAATTTCCATAGGTATTGTGAAAAAAAGTTTTTACGACCCAATGAAAGGGATGAATACCGGAGAAAATTGTTGATTATGATAATTTTTGATTTTCAGAAGTTGATCTCAAGCTATAGTACTATTTTAAATGAAATTGGATATAATTAATTTTAATTTTGGAGGGAAGGAACGAACATATTTTGGTTAAAATAATCACATGGAGGGCAACAAATAAAAAAATTGAGTGGAACTGTTTTATCGAAATGAATTATGTCGGTAAATGTTCATCAGTTTTGAGCGTAATTTTGTAGTATTAATAATACAGATTTATAAATAACGCACTTTTTTTTCTCCCCGTTCGAAGAACGAGTATTCAGCTAGTCAATAATATAAATAAATCTTGCTTGTTATTACAAGATATAATAACAGATAAACGTAATAATAAATAGACAAAATAACAGACAAACATAATAAGTTATAGATACAATAACACAGCTAGTCAATATTATAAATTAATCTATACTTGTCATTTACAGGATACAATAACAAACAGATATAATAACACAGCTAGTCAATAATATAAACGAGTCTATGTTTGTTATTACAATGCATAATAATAAACATATATAATAACATAGCCAGTCAATAATAAAAATGAATCTGTGTTTGTTATTACATATATATAATAACATAGCTATTCAATAATATAAATAAATCTATGTTTGTTATTACAAGATTCAATAATAAACCGATATAATATCATAGTCAGTCAATAATATAAACGAAACTATGTTAGTTATTATTCAATAACTTCTAAAATCAATGGAATAAGTATATCATTGTTTGTGATAGAAAGAATATATTATTACGTCTACAATAAAATCATTTATAGATTTAATTATTTTCTTAATGTATAAATTCCAAACAAAAAATACCTTTTTAGCGTTAATTTCTTTTATTTCATTGAAAACAATTTTCGCTATCAGACAATATTAAAAAAAATAATAATTATGAAAATACCCAAAACCAATCCCAGATCATTTAATTGTTACTCAAAATGGACTAACAATTAATTTCTTTAGAAACAATTTTCATTCGTATATTCTCAAAACTAAATTATTTTTTTTTAGTAACAGCAATCCCCGATTTCATTTTAAAAAAAAGAAGAAAGAACTCAAAGCCATTAGATAAAAGGAGTGCTTAAAACTAAAACCGCAACAAGAGTAAAAAGAAGAAAGAAAAGAAGAAAAAAAAAGAAGAATTTGTCGCGAAATTCTCTTAGTTAAGAAAACTAAATTAGCAGGAGTTTATGATAATCTTTTCTAATGAAGGTTTTCCCAGATAATGGTGTGCCTCTAAAAAAATGTGCCTTTTACTCTTTTAAAGTGAGGCATTTTAAAAGTGGATGAATGCATGTATGAGACACTGACATAGTCAAAAGAACTTTTCGGTCTGTTAATTTTTTTTCGATATTCTAATTTCTTTTCTACAAAGAGAGGAGTTAGTGAAAACACCCCTTTGTGTTAATGAAGAAAAGAAAAAAAAGAGATTACACAGGATTTAATTGTATTTTGTTTAGAATAATCAATTGAGCTTTTTAAAAAAATTGCGATTCTTCCCTTTAACGTCGTTCAGTAAACATGGATTTCAATAGAAGGTTTTCTTTCATGATGTTAGGAAGAAAAAAAATCTTATTTTAGCTGCATTACAGTATTTCCTAACTGTTCTATTGTTGTAAGTCAACCAATATCTATCGGAGCCTAATGGCTTTTGAACAATGTATTGCGTTTAACTTGTACGCAAAATTATAAATGTGTCATATCGATTTGTGGGACAAGAATAAAGTCCCTTCAGCTGAAGACTATAAGTTAAGCGACGGAATTTTTTGCGGCATAATTTTTAAAAGTTGAAAAGTCCATTCGGAGCTAAGTGTCGTTTATTATTTTTTTTACGACTTTAATAATCATCATTTCATTTTAAAATTTAATGGAATTATAGTATTAGATTATGTAATACAAATACTCAAATGAATAAACTTACGCTAATATTTTTAAATTCATTCCAACACTAATCCTTCAATATCTCAATATAGGAAATATGACTTCCATAGGAATAGAATATATTGAATATGGGTATAATGTGTAAGTATTATTTGTTCTAATATAAAGACCATAATTATTCATTGTTAATACTGTTTTTCAATTGGTGTTTGTTTCATTTGAACTAGCACAATTTAAAAAAAAAAAGCTATTCCTGAATATTTGGTAGACATAGCCATGTTTAAAGCAGCGTCTTCCATACTAATAATTAAAATGATGCAAAATTTTAATTTGAAAGTGAACTATTAAATGAATAATCCCAAAAAACTGGAATGGAAAGATATACTGGGTGATTTAAAAACGTTCTTTACTTCACAATTATGAAGATGGAAACAAAAGTTGTGTTACACATTGTAACAATAATTTTTGAGGCACTAATAAGACTTTGAATTCTTCACACTCTTTATTGATAAGAACTTTTCACACTCCACGGTTTGTTCTACTTTGAATTCTTCACACTCTTTATTGATAAGAACTTTTCACACTCCACGGTTTATTCTAATAATGTTTTTGGACAAGTCTTCAGATTCTCATGACTATGGTTCAGGATTCTAGGAGCAGATAGAGCCGAATTCCAACTCGAGGGCAGAGACACCTACATCGAGATTTTGGGAAGGAAGTATTGGAATGGTGGCAACGACAGTGAAGAGTCCCTTTTGAAGTAATTTGATACCTCAGTCGATGATGTGAGTTGGTGAGGAGCGGAGGCTTCGGCCTGCCGTTGTTCTCTCCAAGAACGTGGAGCAACGTTTGAGTTTCAATGAAATGAAATTGTGATAATTTTCAGGATCCATCTTGATCCGTAAAGTTTATAGCAGAATACAATGATCTAAATTAATTTTTGATTTCTACATTAATGTAAAAAATATTAGAAATATACATTTTTCGTGTACTCGTGACCTCAATTTGTAATGATGGAATAAATTTGTGTAAGTAAATCTTTTGTCGTTTTCTTAGGATTATGATTCTTTTTTATTTCAGCTTAATTTACTTATATCTAAATTTAATATATTTATTTTCCAGAGACTCTTTTTAGCTTTGTACTACCACTAAATTGTTAAGTTAACCACCACGTGTGGTAGTAAATTTAATCAGTTAATTGCTAGGTTGTTTAGGATGATTGTATCCAATATTTTATCTAATTCTATTAATACGGCTAATTTGATTAAGTTTTATCTAATGATTTTCTCTTTGTTCATTAATGATATTCTACTTCATCACCATAAACTTTAATTCTTTTTTTACACCACACAGCGCATAATAAGTTGGCATGTTTGGGAGCTGCTTTCATGAAATGTTTCTTATCGAATCATGAAAACCGGCGCTTATTTTTGAGCTCTCAAAAAATGCCAACTTTTATTATAATTTTCATAATTTTGAAGGAATTAAAGTATTATCAAGTATATAAAGGTCATTGTCATCCAGGATACGTGAACTGTTACGATGCTTGTGATGCAAAAAGGCGATAATCGATAACAATGAAGCAAACTGCCAATATTATATACCGATGTTGCAAATGCGAAACAAATGGGTTAATCATTAAAAAAAAATCAAATTTTGTTTTTAAAACCATGAGACTGCAGCTTTCTCTCCAAAGCTCAACTCTAATTTTGCGATTTTTGGAAAATACTAAAATTTTTATTGTGATAGAATTATCCAGATTAAACTCAGAATGTTGGCCAACGATTCAGCAATTTCTTCTTAGTTTCTTTACAACATTTGTCGCCAATTCAAATGATTTTTAATTTTTTTGTTTAAACACTTAACGTGAAGGAACATGTGCAAAACAATAGTCGTTTTAATTGAGCATTAAACTTACATTATGGAATGTAGTATTTTTTAAACCTCAGACGTACAAATAATACTAAGTACATATATTACAAAATTCGGTTGAAAATTAGGAAGTCCATAATTTTTACGATGATCATTTTATAATGATAGTGGACGAACAGAAGTATTATTTGTGGTAATTTAATGTTGAATTTTAATATTGTCAAAACGGCAACATACATTGACGTGTACAGTCAGATTCTCGATGTTACATTTACAACCTCTTTTGACAACTATAGTACAATATAATTTTTGCTTAGACCTATTAGACTATTTCATTTTTGTAAAGCTAAACATGGGTAATAAATTTTTAATTATCATTGGCATCTCAAGGTCACATTTTCTACCTTCGTCTCCCTGAAAGTCAACAACGTTACTCTTTTTATTCACACGGCAGTTAAGGAGTATCTGCAAACCAAAACTGAGCAGTGGTGGTGAGAGAGAGCACTCGCCTCTCATTGAGGTCACCCAGGCCAGGTTCGAATCCCAGCGATGGCTGTCGACACGAATTCCGTACCCGGTTTGAATCGATCACAGTGCTGACGTAAAATATTCTTAGTGGTAGACGGATCATGGGTTAGA